TAAATATTCAAAACAATCTTCATCACATAATGTTATTTGTGAATATTTATACATATGTTTGTAATAATACCGTCCTAACAGTTTTATTTTTGTTTTCTGAAGGTTTCATTAACCAATTTCATTTTTATTGAATAATAGTCTTCCGTATGTATATACTGTATGTATATAGAACCACTGCAATTGAGCTCTTAATACAGTCTGAAATGATCTCATTCATGCATTAAAAACAAGAATCATGGTAAACATATGACATAGAATTATACAGGTAGAGATGTTTTTATTAAAATATTGACAAAAAATGAAGTGTTAAACGCAATAAAAGTTTGTATTTTATAGATATGTTTATCATGGACTATTTACTTTCGTTATATAAATGAGTTTCTTTCATGATATCCATAATAAAGTGAATGAGAAACGAAGCTTGATGTACAGATGTAAACAATATCATGTTTTGCCCCCCAAACTTGGTTGTGATGCATTAGAAAGAAAATTATAGATTGAAAACGTAACTCCTTTGTTCTTGCATCTTGACAGTAGACCATCATTATGTTCCTAAACATATTCATTCTCTCTTGTTCTTGCATCTTAAAAACACTTTTCCTTAATCCTTAGTTGTTTTGTCATTTGGAATCTCTTTAATGTCATGGGATAAGTTTTCATCCTTTTTGTTGATCTCATATTCTATAATTTTAATTACGGTTTCAGTTACTCATGCTTGGATCTCATCGACAAGTAGTCCTTTAGGTTGACCATGCGTTGATGTCACCTGTATAAAATATTTTTTAAATTATATTAATATAAATAATAAATAATTGAATACCCAAGAGAGTTGAGATACATAAAGTTTAAAGATACTTCGACTAACAGACTTTAAACGTAACCACATCCTTGCTTCTTTTGATTTTCATGGGATATGCATCCTTTCTTCTTGCAGTTAAAAGGAAATACGTGATTTCATAAATTTGGTTTGTCTTAAAAGATATAAAAGGAAATAAAAAGATAAGGGAAAAAATATTCCTTCACCACAAAATACAAGTAACAAGATCTGAATAACTAAAATATGAACCAAAAAACAATACATAAATTATTACACATGATTATTCGAGAACACAACCACAGACCATCGATTCTATTGTTCAAGAATACAAGTAAAGGAAATATTTTTAAAACTTTAAACCGTTAGAATTTTTTTAAAAGGATAATATAAAATAATCATAATTACATTTGCCTTAGAGAGAGCTAACATATGATCCTACTTTGGAAGCTCATTCATAGCTAAGCTATATAAGCACTAAATTTTCAAAACATTTAAAATTTACTTTTTTTTTTGTTAATAATCAGTGAAAAAGAAAATTAATGAGTTAAACTTGGACATATTTGGATGTGATAAAGTAGCATAGTAGAGATACATGCCTGAGCAAAACCAGGGAAAAAATAATCTGCAAATTGAGTTCTTGCTATAGGTTAATTCTCATATTTTAATTTACATATGTAAACAATTATATGACAAGATGCATAAAAGAATTTGGTGTACAAAACATTTAGTAACCATTCATTACTATCGGACCAATACCAAACCCAAAAATCTCATGTTGCAGATAACAACAAAACCTTTAAAAATTGTGAATGGACCTAGTAATAGTATCCCAATTTTTTGCCTCTGTTGGTTTCAGAACCCTAGAAGAAATATAATTTACCTTATAGAAGTTTTAATTGTAGACATATATGCAAGGAAATACTATGTATAATGAGCCAATACCGTATTTGCATTCTGAAAAAAGGGTAAAATGATTAAAACAAGCATCGATCTATAATTCAATTTCTTTTAAGTGTAATTAATATCACATAGTAAAAATAACAAAAAAAAAAAAAAAAAAAAAGAGTATGCTTGTGGAATAGTAAGGTAACAAAGCCACAATTTTTTTTAGAACAACAGTTTAGTATATGCCTGGGATAGAACTAATGACCTCCTTGTTAGTAACTCCTTGTTAGACACCTTGTTAGCCAAGTGGGCTAGTCCCAACTTGTTAACAGAGCCTCATTTCATCAAGAACATAACGTATGCAGGCCTGCCAAACAAGTTTTGTCGTATATGAGACTATGAGGGATCACCCTGCATCTTGAACTCGTCAGGTGATGCTATAGTCACCAAAAACTCAAGCATTCATGTCTTTTTCAACAACATCAGAAAACTATCTTACCCCCAAGAGCCCCCTGTATCCAAAAGAACAAATTATGCCCCTGGATGTCAAAATTTGTAGTATGACTGTTGTGAAATCACTCAAATCTAATTGGTGATCAAATCAAATGTGTATAGATTAAGCCAAGTTATTATCATTCAATTAAATATCAGGTATAACAACCTAAATAGGTTTATCTTCTATCTTAGGATGTTAATATAATGGCACCCAATATATATATATATACACTACTAGAAAACATGGGGTTTTACTACGGAAAATAGCTACGGAAAATTTCTGTAGCTAATTAGCTACGGAATTGCTACGAAATAGCTACGAAATGGGATGCCCTAATTTAGTAACGGAATAGCTACGGAATAACTACGGAATAGCTACGAACGTCAGTCCGTAGCTATTCTGTAGCTAATTAGCTACGGAATAGCTACCGAATAGCTACAGATGCTAATCCGTAGCTATTCCGTAGCTAATTAGCTACGGAATGGCTCCGAGATACCTACAGATACTATTTACCTACGGATTAGCTACGAAGTATGCTTTCCGTTAGACTTCCGTAGCTAATCCGTAGCTAAGTAGCTACAGATTAGCTACGGATTTTTCTTATTTTTGATTTTTCGAGCACCAAACGTCGTTTTTTCCCCTTCATTTTTTTCACACCTTTGCTATACATGATTATCTATATTCTCACCAACCTATAGCTATTAATATCGTTTATAAAGTCGTGTGCCCGTTCGGGATCAAATACTCGTTTCACAGTTTAACATTGTAATGTTTATCGTTTTCACCAACTTCTGATGGATTATGTTTGTATATATATATTTATATACATTAATGAGTTGTGGTATATGTGTATGTGTATATGTGTATGTATACGTGTTTGTGAGATGTATGTGAACGTATTCATAAACATTATAGTGTTAAACCACTAAACGAGCAATGGATCCCGTATGTGTACACGACTTTATAAATGATATTAATAGCTATAAATTGGTGAAAATATAGATAATCATGTTTAATAGAGGTGTGAAAAAAACGGAGCGAAAAAAAAGGACGTCTGGTGCTCGAAAAGTCAAAAATAAGAAAAATCCGTAGCAAATCCGTAGCTAATTAGCTACGGAATAGCTACGGAATTCTAACGGAAAGCATATTCCGTAGCTAATCCGTAGGTACCGGAAAGCATATTTCGAGCACCAGACGTCGTTTTTTTTCGCTCCGTTTTTTTCACACCTCTATTATACATGATTATCTATATTTTCACCAATTTATAGCTATTAATATCATTTATAAAACCGTGTATACATATGAGATCCATTGTTCGTTTAGTGGTTTAACACTATAATGCTTATGAATACGTTCACATACATCTCACAAACTCATATACATCATCATCATCAACAACATCATCATCATCATCATCATCACCATCATGATCATCATCATGATGATCATCATCATCACCACAACCACCACCACCACCACCATTATCATCATCATCATCATACCATCACCATCACCATCACCATCACCACCCCCACCACCACCACCATCATCATCACAACATCACTATCACTATCACTATCACTATCACTATCACCATCACCATCACCATCACCACCACCACCACTACCATCACCATCACCATCACCATCACCATCACCACCACCACCACCACCACCACCATCGTCATCACCATCACCATCATCATCACCACCACCACCACCACCATCACCACCACCATCATCATCATCATCATCATCACACCATCACCATCACCATCACCACCCCCACCACCACCATCACCACCACCATCATCATCATCACACCATCACCATCACTATCACTATCACTATCACCATCACCATCACCATCACCACCACTACCACTACCGTCACCATCACCATCACCATCACCATCACCATCACCATCACCATCACCATCATCAACATCAACATCACCATCATCATCATCATCATCATCCTCACCATCACCACCACCACCACCACCACCACCACCATCACCGTCACCGTCACTGTCACCGTCACCCTCACCATCACCACCACCACCACCACCATCATATAGCTAGAAATATCATTCATAAAGCCGTGTGCACATACGAGATCCATTACTCGTTTAATGATTTAACACTATAATGCTTATGAATACGTTTGCATACAACTCACAAACACGTATAAATACATCATCATCACCATCACCATCACCATCACCATCACCATCATCAACATCAACATCACCATCATCATCATCATCATCATCCTCACCATCATCATCATCACCATCATTATTATCATCATCACCATCATCATCATCATCATCACCACCACCACCACCATCATCATCATCATCGTCACCATCACCATCATCATCACCATCATCACTATCATCACCATCTTCATCATTATCATCATCATCATCATCATCAACACCGCCACCACCACTACCACCATCATCATCATCTTAGAACACGCTGATTGTTGGTGATATTAGTGTCACTAAGTAACAGAAACTAACATGTGAGCTAAGGGGCTTCATAATTTGCACTCTATTATATGTAAGGGGTTGCGCGGAGTGCACACATGTATAAGATCTAATTAGAAGCTGGTTAGACGACTAGTTGGGGGTCTCGGGTTTCCAAAGGGGCGTTGCCCCTTTGGCGGGGTATAGGGGCAGCGCCCCTAGCGGGGTCCAAGGGGCAGAGCCCCTGGCTGGGGTCCCGCTGAAGTTGTCCCGAGTTCGACTCCTACCATCTTTTTTTTTTTTCTGTTTTTTGGCCGACTCTTCTTTATGGTTGCGCGTTTTTTTTTCCGCCTCCACTTATCAGCCCCTCTTTTCTCCTTTCCTTCATTCGCTTTCCAGCTTCTCAGTCGCACCTCCCACTCGTCATACCCTCTCCTTCGATCCTCTCTTCTTTATCTTCTAGCCGATGAAGCTCCGATGAAGCTTACTCCGCCAGCCGATGAGGCTTCCTCAGCCAACAAGATGAAGCTTGGACAGTGTCAGTGATGAGGATAGACAAGGTCGGCATTCCCTCTCCTTCGATCCTCTCTTCTTTATCTTCTAATCGATCATTCCACATGACAGAAGTCAGACGAGATCATTCAAGGCTTCAAGGGTAATTTGATTCCTAATTTCTCTTTCTCCTAAATTTCGAGTTTTGTTTCCTGTCTTCTGATCGCTCCGGTTTGTCGCTTACAGCTCTGATTTCTCTCTAATTTGGTATGTTTTGTTTATTTTCTTACAGCGCTTACATAATACATACGAAAGTAACATGTCCCTGTTTGCTCATAACAGTAGTTGAGATCAAGCAAATATTCTTCATTTTCTTTCATGATTCTTAACACACAATTTCTTTAAATTTACAATCCTTGTACCTGAACAATTGAACTAGATGTATCCAATATGTGAAATAGTTAACATCACAGATTCACACATATTCTTGTTCACACAGTAGTTGGGTTGAATCTTGTACATGGTAGGTTGTATGGGCTTTAAGGAATGTTGCAGGTGATTCCCCTAAATGTCGTGACCTTGTACTTGCACAAGGTGCTTTGATTCCTCTACTATTCCAATTAAATGAGCATGCAAAGTTATCTATCTTGAGAAATTCCACATGGAAGCTTCCAAATTTTTGTAGAGGAAAACCACAACCTTCTTTCAGTCAGGTTCGTTTCAGAAAAGACCAAACTACCCACATAGTTTTTGGCTCTATCTTTTCAACATTTGTTGTGGTACATTGATAATTTTGGATTCTAATTTTGTCTTGACTTTTCATATATAAAACCTACACTTCCAGCTTTAAAGCAACTTATTTATTCAAATGAAGAAGTTTTTACATATGCTTGTTGGGCTCTTTCATATCTTTCAGATGGCACAAATGATAAAATTCAAGTTGTGATTGAAGAAAATGTATGTCCCAGATTGTTACAGGAGATGATATGCAAACTCAAGTAGCATTTCTTTTGTAATATTTTTTAAAGAAAGTTTTTGCATTTCTTTTTAGATTATAGAAAATTGACATTATATTTGTTCCTGACTTACATTTGTGTGTTGTAGTATATAATCAATCATCAAGCATTGCCTTGTCTTCTGAACTTGACATTATATTTGTTCCTGATGCTTGTATGTGCGACAACATAGGCGAGGCTATGATCGGAAGGAAGTATTAATAGGCTGCAAAAAACATGAATATGGAAGCAGCGATCAAAGTAATTTGCTGTGAAAGTGTGCTGTATTGGAATTTAGAACTAAGGGCACTATTGTCCTTTTACAATGTTTTTTTAATTATAATGATTTAAGATTATGAAAAACAATTATATATCAACAAAATAATTAAAATATAGATTTGGGTATATATGACATCAACAAATGTGAATTGAATGTTGTATTTGACAAAAAAATTGGAAATTTTTAAATTAATTTTTTTTTTATAAATAAAACGAAATTAGCTACGGAATAGCTACAGATTTCCGTAGCTATTAAGGTCCGTAGCTATTTCGTAGCTATTTGGATCCGTAGCTATTCCGTAGCTATTCAGGTCCGTAGGAATTCCGTAGTTATATTATTCCGTAGCTATAGTAGCTACGGACGTTTCCGTAGCTATTCTGTAGCGGTTCCGTAGATAATCCGTAGCTATAATTTAGCCACGGGCCATTATGCTACAGTCATTTTTCCGTAGCAATTCCGTAGCTATCCGCTTATAGCTACGGAATAGCTACGGATTGTGTTGTAGCTATTTATCCATTTTTCTAGTAGTGATATATATATATATATATATATATATATATATATATATATATATATATATATATATATATATATATATAATCAAGATCAAATAAGAAGGAAATTTTTGGTAGGAAGGTAAGAAGTTTTTTTTCTACATATCTTTTTCACGAACAAACAAAATGAAACAAAATGAATCATTAGATGATTCATTTGTAAGATGATTCACAAGAAAAAATTCTCAAAAAAACATCTCAATGATTCATTTATATAATGATTTTGTTGTTATTCACTAAAATTATCATAAAAAGTGAATTTTTTTTTAATTTACTTAAAAATGAATCATAAACATGTTTTTCTGAGAATTTTTTCTTGTGAATCATCTTAAAAATGAATTATCTAGTGATTCATTTTTTTTGTTCATCAAAAAAATATGTAGAAAAAAACTTCTTACCTTCCTACCAAAAAAAATTTTCTTACCGGATCTATATATATATATATATATATATATATATATATATATATATATATATATATATATATATTAACAACATCCAGTTTCATTTTATTCAAATGTAACCAACAACTAAGGGGTTTTCGAATGTTTGTTTAAACTGATTATTGTTAGGGTTTGGAAAAAACTAATTTTGCTTACTAAGTAAGTATGTATTATAGTAATCAAATTTGGAGAAGCGAGTAAGTATGGAACTTGCTGCAACATAACTAATTAGCGAGATAAATAACTTACAGATTTGGGTTTATGTGGTAGATGCTTTAACCTAATAAATTAAAAACTTTATATAGTAGAAGTACAAATACTTTCATGATAAATAATTGTTTTTTAATACTCATGTTATTCAAAACTACTTTCATGATGAATAATTGTGGTAGATGCTTTAGCCTAATAAATTAAAAACTTTATATAGTAGAAGTGCAAATACTTTCATGATGAATAATTGTTGTTTAATACTCATGTTATTCAAAACTACTTTTAAGTCCTTCATAACCAACGAAGCCCACAAAAAAATGAAGAACACAAAATTGTTGTCCTATTTCTTTTTTTTTACATCATTACCCTTCGATTAAATCCTCTTTAAATCATTGTTGTTTACTTTTATCAAGTAGAGTGAGAGTTAAACCAGAAGTAGCAGTAGAGAAACAAAAAGCATACATGTGATTTGTAGGAGAGAAATAACGGGGAAGACATTATCTGTTTGAGACACGGAGCAAAAAAGAGGAGCAAAAACAAACTAGGAGAGATCTTTTATTGATCATTCACCATTAAGTTGAAACCTATACAAAGAAAAAGAATTCCAAAATCAATTTCAAAGAGTAAAATTTAGAGCTCGAACCCTAAATTTAAAATCAAGGAAACCAAAAACAAAAAACAAATGGTTATAGCGGTGTATTAAGTTAATTTCAATTGATCGTTTCTGTTGCAAATAAGAACTAAAAAATTAGAAGCGATTACCTGGACTAGGAGATGTCGGTGGCTGAATTAGGATGTCCACCAACAAGATCACCTATTCCAGGGGGAATGTGAGGAGAAGGTGGAGAAATCTAAGGCGGTTCATTATCAAGAAGAAAGGAAAAAGAGGAAAAGAAAGGGTGGCAAAAAGAAAAACGTGAGAAAGAAAGAGTGACTCACCTTACAAAGGTTAATTGAGGCGGCAAAAAGCTTTGGGGGACACACCACCACAAAAGTAATTAAGTAAACCCACCTTTGAAGTTTCTTGCGTCAGATAAAAGGTTGACCATAAACAAGCAGGCAGATTAGTGTGCAGGATTAACTGAAGAACATAACATACGTTAAAATTGGTCGCCCATTAGTCTTCTTATATATATATATATATATATATATATATATATATATATATATATATATATATATATATATATATATATCATTATCCTTATCTGTATCTTTATATCATACATACTTATAAAACTAGCATTTTTTCTTGGGGAATATGACTTATCAAGGTAATTAACTTTTCGGTATGTTCATATCTGGGTAATTATCTTTTTTTTTGTACATATATAGGTAACAAACTTTTTAGAAGTGTTCACATATAACCATTATGACCTGCTATAGTAGGTTAAATCCTAGATGTGAACGCTTTCAACAAGTTTGTTACCTAGATGTGTATAAAAAAAATAGTTACCCAAAATGAGAAGTAAAAATTAAATTACATGAATGGTCCCTGTGGTTTGGGGGAATTTATGGTTTTGGTCGCTAACTTATTTTTTTAACTTAAATGGTCCATACTGTTTATTTTTGTTGCGCGTTTGGTCCCCGTCTTACCTAAAAATACTATTGTGCCCTTATTAATTTATTTTATTTAATTAATTTTCTTATCTATTTATTTATTTTTTACATATTTAAAAAAATTAATAGACCACACATATTTGTATCTCCTCGGATGATCCTTACTATTTATTTTTTAATTAATTTAATTTTTTAACTCGGATGGTCCATACTATTTAATTTTGTTACGAACTTGATCTCTGTCTTACCTAAAAAGACGATTGTGCCCTTATTAATTTTTTTAATTAATTGACTTGTTTATCTACTTATGCTTTATATGTTTAAGAAAAATTAGTAGACCCCATATATCTATATCTCCTCACCATCCCATCTTTCATCATTCTCAACTTCTATTTATTTTTCATCTTTAGTAATATCGACGCCTTCATCATCACTTCTTTTTTCGGTCCTTCAACTCCATCGAATCAACACCACAACCCAATAAAGATGAAGAGACAGTAGGTTATGGTGTTGGTTCGCCAGAGTTGAAGTACCAAAAAAAAGGACGGTGAAGACGTCGATGTTACTAAAGATGGAAAAGAAATAGAAGAAGGGGAGGATCAGAGATGAGATGGTGAATGGTAAGACTCAAATTAAATTTCTCAAATGTGGTTTCAGGTTTACGGTGATGAGATACATATATATGGGGTATATTAATTTTTTTATAAAACATAAATACATAAATAAGAAAATTAATTAAAAAAATTAATAAGGGAAAAATAGTATTTTTAGATAAGACAGACACAAAACGCGTAACAAAAATAAACAGTATGGATTATCCGAGTTAAAAAAAAAATAATTAAAAATAAACAATAGGGATCATCCGAGGAGATACAAATATGTGTGCTCTATTAATTTTTTTAAATATGTAAAAAATAAATACATAGATAAGAAAATTAATTAAAAAAATAAATTAATAAGGGCACAATAGTATTTTTAGGTGAGACGGGGACCAAACGCGCAACAAATATAAACAGTAGGGATCATTTAAGTTAAAAAAAATAAGTTAGCGACCAAAACCAAAAATTCCCCCAAACCACAGGGACCATTCATGTAATTTAATTTTTAATTTTCGTTTTGTTCATATTTGGGTAACTATTTTTTTTTTGTACACATCTAGGTAACAAACTTGTCGAAAACATTCACATCTAGGATTTAACCTGCTATAGTAGGTCATAATGGTCATATGTGAACACTTTCAAAAAGTTTGTTACTTAGATGTGTAAAAAATAAATAGTTACCCAGATGTGAACATACCGAAAAGTTAATTACCTTGATAAGTCATATTTTCTTTTTTCTTGAATCTCATGCATTTGAAACCCCCATTCTTTTTTTCTTTCACCACATTCATTTGAAACTCCTATGACTTTTCAATTTCCTTATAATAATAATTATAATTTGGTAATTAGGTTAAATAAATATCAAATCAAAAGTGTATTCATATATAAACTAAATTTCAATATTAAAATAATATCTTTAATTTTACTTATAAAACTATATTTTTTTTAACTTTTAACATATTATACTTAACTTATTAGTTTTAATATATTGTTGGATGTAAACCATTATCATTTTAAAGGTGTAATTTTTGAATAATTTTTATAAAATACTTAAATTATTAATTAAAATACAAAATTATAGGCTCAACTTAAATATAAATTTTGTTTAACTTAAACAACCCAAAGATTACTTTATAAATAGTTAAAAGTGATAAATTGTAGTGTCTTTCTAATAATGATTATAAATTGGTTAATAATGTTAAATAAGTATCAAACCTAAAGTGTAATAAACAATAAACTAAATTTCAATATTAAAATAATATTTTTACTTCTAATTATAAAGTTATGTCTTCAACTTTTAACATATTATACTTAATTTATTAGATTTAATATGTTGTTGTATGTAAACCATTATCAGTTTAAAGTTACAAATTTT